TTTTTGAGTGGATGACTCACAAAGCCTGCAGGGTGACCTTATTTCATCACAAATTTTTTCCCCGCTGTATTTCTGTTGCTTCCCTTTGGTTTGTTATTTCCTTCCTTTGCCCAACAGAGTTAAGTTGGACTGATTAAATAAATCTTATCTGCGAATGTTGCAGAAGTTGTTGCCACTGCTTCAAAATGAACAAGCTGCTGTACAGCTGAGCCCATCTGTCAGGCATGTGAGAGAGGGGCAGAAGTAGCTTCTAAAATGCCTCAAAAGTTCCCATAGGAGGCCTTGTCACTGTGCTGTGGTGTCCTGTATCAGAAGGGTGAGAGGTTGCTTATCACACCATTAAACTCATTGGCCCTTCTAATTATTTACTCTCCTCACGCACCGGCTTCATCCGCTTTTCTCCGCTCTCCTCTGTCCTGTGTGGGTCTCCGACTAAAAGCGCTCATGTCCACTGTTTCATCTTTTCTATACGTCCTTCATTTGTCTTCCCTCCCTCTCCTTTGTTCTTTCTGGCAATGGGAGCTGTAAACACTCCTGCATATGCCTCCACATTTACATCCATTGCTGTCACTCAGGTTTAAGGCTTGAAATCTTGCCTCCCGCTACAAGTGTAGAGTTCTTTTTCTTTCGGGAATGTGCAGTATTTGTGACGTGGTAAAATGACAGCCGTATAGTAAGCCACCTAAAGTATCTTTTATCACAATATTTATGTTCTATGTTTTCAGAGGCTTCTGAGGGTGAGTTTGACAACCATGTCATCTTGAGGGAAGTCAAATGAATATGGATTGGATTTGATTTGGCTTTGTTTTATGAGTGATTAAAACCAAGCCTGAGAGTGTTTATCAGGCACTACTAATGGTTTGATTCCTAATTTAAAGTGTGGAGACTGGCTTTGGGCAAAGCCATTAATGCGCAGCATTTGCATTCATTGCATTCACAAATCTTATTTTCTCAGGAAATTGATACTATTCAAAACTTTACTGCCTTTGCATTGGATGATTTAAAGCAATTCATTTGTTAGTTTGTTGCTGGTTCTTCACAGTCAGATTGCTTAAGAGTGGTTTGACTGCTCAGTCACATCCATATATAAAGGCTATTACAGCGAAGTGCATTTTTTTAATTGAACAGAATTGAATTTGCAAAAATGAGCTGCACCATCAGCCTCCTAAAAAACTAACTAAACAGTTTTCCTAATGGAGTGTGGAAGGAGAAGAACATAAATTTATGCATGGTTTTAAAATATAGGCATTTTGTCAGATATATGTTTATTTATTAGCGTTACTAAGAAAGGTAAAGAACACATAGAAAATCTACTTATGAGAACACATGTCAATATTTAATTGGACTGCATCAGATTCTGTCAGTGTTTCTTAAGGACATGTGTTATATTTGATTACCTTTTTATACCGTGCTTAGAAGTAAATACACTATATAAAAACTTAAAAGATAAGCTTGTCTGCACTACTTATAGCTCATACCATTGTAGGACAGACAATACTATTAAAGGGATTGTTCAGGATGTTTAAAGTAGGGTTCCAATAAAAGATCATAAGAACTTAATCCCATCTTTCCATTAATGGTAAAACCCAATAAGGCTCTGCAGGTCTCCACTCCCCACAGTTGTTTTTTTTTACTGATGCCCTGACAATTGGAGTTCTGACCTAAAAGACACACCTCCAGCATCCTTCAATCTCAGCAAGAGATCACAGATGGAGCTATTTTGGAAACACTTTTTTTTCCAGCACCATTGCCCAAGCTTTTTGAGTTTTTTTTTTTCTTTTTTCTTTTTACATGTGTTTCTGGGGATGTATGTATATGCATCTCAGCAGCTGATTTTCTATGTGAACAGTTCATGTTAGATACAGTGTGGCCCGAGTGTGGCATGATTTTCAGAAAGGTCACTTACTTTCTTTTCTATTTAAGCCTTCAGGCATGATTTATGCTTTGTTAAAAGTGAATTGATGTTCTTGAACTTTCTCAAACCTAGAAGGACTAAAGCCTGACCCAATTGAGCGTGTAGTAAGAGTTGTTACAACTGTTTCTTGGTTTGATTTGAGCTTACAAAATATGACATAAGACCAAACTTGCAAAGTAAAATAAACATTCACCTGCCCGATAAGCATTGGTTAGACCTGGTCTGACATGGCTATTATAGTGTTGTCACTATAATGTTTTTTTTTAGCCTTTTCTTTTATTGCAGTGTGCAATCGTTTCATGGCTTATCATTCCTAAAGCTACCTCCCCAAACATTTTCTTTCTTTCTTTTTTTTTATTCCTGTCTGGCAATGTGGCAATAACAATAATTGTCTTGATGCAAAAAGAGCCAAACAGATTTTACTTTCACAAGTGGAGCAATATGGCAATTGCCATATTTCTCCACTTGTGAAAGTAAATATTATAATTATGCATGGAGTTTTACAGTATATATGGACACTGCAATGTAAATAGAACAGAAGAGGAAAAACAGAAGAAAAATAAAAAAGAGAAAAGATGAAAGAAAGAGGAGATAGAAAGGTGACAATGACAAAACATTTTCAGTCTGCTTCTTCACCTGCAACGAGATGTAAAAAGAACATCACAACCGAAAGATTTGGATTTGCCGAAAGATTAGCCATTTGTTTTACAGTACATAGCCAAATACTAATTAAAACAGTCAACTACAGTATATTTTTTGAATAAATAAATATATGTGAAAAATATATCAGCTTTAACTTTATTGGCACCTTTAATTTCCAGATAGTTCAATCTGATGTGTGCCACTAAGATACTCTAATTAGAGAGCAGTAGTGAAACTTTGAGTCTGTAGATACAGTAGGGCTGTACAGGTGCGAATTGAAGAGGAACACCGTACAAATGTTGGGATGGTACAGTAAGGTATGGATAGAGGGGAAGGAAAGACTGGTCTTTGGGAAGAGTTCAATAAGGTGACCGCTGTAGGAAAGAAGTGGTTTCTGAATCTGCTTGTGTTAGTCTGCAAACTGCGTAAATGGTAGAGCCTGGGGGAGGAACAGAAAAGAGTATGGCCCGATGAGAGGAGTCTGAGAAAATCTTACATGCCTGGTGCTGGCATCTCTTCTTGTGGACATCCTGTGATTGCCTGTCAGCAGTTCCCTATCAGCTTAGTGCTTTTTTAAGGTTCACATTCAGTTCTCAAAAATTAAATGTTGAACAGGGGTCAATACTCATTAAAACCTTAAAGTAATCAAAAAGTAATCAAAAGTAATTAGTTACATTACTTTTTTAAAGTAATCAAAAAAGTTACACTACAATTACAATTTAAACAAGGTAACTTGTAACTGTAACGGATTACATTTTTAAAGTAACTTACCCAACACTGTTCATATCCAATTATTTCTAAGTGTGACAGCTAGTTTACTGAAGCGGAATTCTTCCTGTCTTCAAAAATCCACATTTTTAAAAGGAAAATATGACAAAGACCAATGAACCTAACTAGCTTTTAAATTTACAGTATATTAGATTATATTGTTAACAAGGGTAAAAGAAGGATAATGCAAATACTTTTATATACATATATATATATATATATATATATATTAGTGCTGTCAATCGATTAAATTTTTTTAATCGTGATTAATCGCATCAATGCCTAAGTTAACTCGCGATTAATCGCATTTTAATCACACATTTTTTTTCTGATTGAAAATCACTTAAATACTCTCGATGACATACAAAAAATACATACAGGCTAGGTTTGTGCCAATGTTCTTTTTTTTAATGAAAACAGGTCACAGACACTGATTTATGCCATAGAAACATATGGCAAGAAGATGGGGAGGCATGTAGCAAAAAATAACAAATATGTAGCCAAAAAAAAGGCCCTGAAAACAGGCTGATGTAAAAGGCAGTCTTTACAGTTAATACAGTCTTTTGAACAAAGACAAGCATTTTACCCTACTGCTATAAAATGTAGTAGAGTTAACATTAGATGTCAATTAACCAAGGTAATAATGAACAATTTTCAATCAATACATCAAAATCAATAGACCGACATCACTAGATGGAGGTAGTCTATGCTCTAGAAAGTTACTTTTCAGCCTCTTAACAAAAATGAGAAAACACACACATACACACACACACACGATACTGACCTGTGGCGTACACAGACAGCAAGAGTGCCGTAGCAGATTCCATTTCACCTCAGTAATCAGTTTTCTCAGCGTATTTCAGGTTGCTACTAGGCACCAGACACTCAACTTGTTTGTTGGTGGTGGGGCTTAAAGAAAAGGCACTAGCGTCACCCAGTGTATGAGCGTCTTTTTTCCTTGAGGAGCTCCGCTCTCGAAGCCTATGGAAAATGCATAGACTGGGGGAAAATAGCCCCGCCTTCCCGCAGGCTGCAGCGGGATGTACTTGGAAAATTGTACCATAAAACCACATAGCGTTAATCTCACGTTAAAAAAATGATCGCCATTAAAATGGCCTTGCGTTAACGCGATAATAACGCGATTTTGACAGCACTAATATATATATATATATATATATATATATATATATATATATACATATTTGTGATGTAACCTCGTAACCTTTAATTTTGTTTTACTTTAGTGGATTGTTGCACTGTCAAATTATCTAGGTATGAATTTTAGGATTAGCCGTTTAACAAATTAATCTATTGATTATTTGTAAATCATTGGGAAGCAAAAGGTGCTGTATAGGAGATTTCTCACGGCTTTCAGTTGGGTTTAACTAAAAGTAGAAAAATTGAAATAGAGAGCATTCACTGATAAATAAGACTTATCTTTGGGGAAAACTAACTGTTTTATATATATATATATTTGGCTTAGTTATTATTCTGAGTTCATTCTTTTAGCAAATGGCATGTTTTAGAGTCTTTGTGCTGTCTGAATGGTTTACTGCATTCGTTGACATTTAATTCAATAATTGATTAAACCATATCTATCAGATTAATTGTTTTAAGCAATAAAAACTTAGTACAAGACCAACATTCATGTTTTTTTGTGTTTTTCTTTTACTAGTGGCACCTGCCATGAAATTAAATGCACGTGGAGTTACAGATCGTACTATTGAGCTGGAGTGGGAAGGGTCCATGATGGTGACAGATTTCTTGGTGACCTACACACCGAGCATCCCTGGAGGTATGGATAGATCTGTCTTGATCTAGAAACAACAGCATTTCCATTGTCTGTTTTGTCATTGTGCCTTAAAAAGCACAACAGAGAATAACATTGCATCACTTTGTTCTTTCCTTTTGTTCCCTTTTGTTAGGTGTGCAACTAGAAATAAGGCTCCCAGGAAACACAACATCTTGGATTATTACAGGTCTAGAAGCAGGCATTGAGTACAACATCAATGTGTTTGCTGTCATCAACAACTCAATCAGCATTCCCTCTAGTATTACTGTTTGGACGTGTAAGTGTGGTGCTTGCTTTATTTATGTTCCTTTTTAAAGCTTCACTGGGCAGTTGTTGCAGTCTACACTTTAATCCAAGACAAAATAGCACTTTTAATTATTTTGTAGAGGTTTTCCATCAATAGGTTCTGACAGCATTGCATCAGTTGAGGTACTGCATTTGCACCTGCCTTTTTTCCTTAAAGAAACTGTTTCCAATTTGTTAAAAATCACAAGCTTCTTGTTTATGCTGTATGGTTGTGATATGACCTGTAAAGATTTCTCAGTGTCTCACACACACTGCCAGGTTTTAATGGTAAGCAGGCAGATTTCCACACGAGGCACACTAGTTGTTTTTTTATGCTTACCAAGAGTGCAGACTTATCAAATCCCTAAGTAAGTAAATAAATACCTTTTTCATTATTACAGCTGATTGGTGGCTGCATAATCATATTTCTGTTCATCCCATCGGAACAGCTAAAGTCATCCTCAATTTCACAGATAAGGGAATTCAATTTCATTTTATAGTCAAATTTTGAGTAATAAATTCAATTTATTATATTTAAATCTGATAGAACCATTTTTATTTGAGAATTGAGATATTTTAGGCGATTGTCTTGAAATAACATTATAAAACTGAGAAATAAAACTATCCATAAAAATGTTTATGAACATATTTGCTGCTGAAGAGGAATTTTAGTGTCTTCCAGAAATAAAATGGGCTTTTGAGTAATGATTATATATTTATGTCCAATGAAGCCATGTTGCAGAAAATCATTATACAATAAAAAATAATGTTTCAGTCTGTAGAAAGTAAATACTCCACCTTCCAAAGTATGTGTGCCCCTGGAGTCTTTTTTACGTTTTCTTACATTAATATCACAGATCTTAATATATTTCCCTTGAAATTCATGTGACAGACCCATAAACACTAAGCTATAAATTTTTATCTATAAATTTAGGTTTGCAATAAATTTTCCCACTTAAGTAGTAAAGCTTTACGGTCTACTATCACCTTTAGAAATCCCCTAGTAAATTATAGTCCTTTGGTATACAATTTTGAAAACTATGAATTATGAAAACCTATGAAATATTTGGGGTTAAAACATATTGTCAGTTTTGAGCATCTTACAGTTCACTGTTCAAGTCAGTTTAAAAATATGAAGCCTATGATACAACTCTAAACTGAACTTAGTCATCCACATAAATGGGGTGACAAGTAAGGCTAGAATCTTTCGTAGAACTCCAGTGTCCATTGCAACGTCGGGAGCTGCAGAGAATGCCTTGTGTACTTAAAAAATCTGGCCATTGTAGATCGACAAGCTTTTTATTTTCTTAAAATTATATATATATATATATATATATATATATATATATATATATATATATATATATATATATATATATATATATATATATATATATATCTGAAGCAGCCACAATGTGTGGCTGTGTATAAAAACTAACATTGTAAACACACCATCTCATCTACAGTTTTTTATTAGCAGGACAGAAAACAAGGTCAGAGTAAATCACTTGGAGCACAAAAGGTCAAGCCATTAACAGTTGCATAAATTATATTCCTCTTACTCTTTTTTATTGTCTTCCACTTTATCTGGGACCAGGTTGCAGGGGCAGCAGTCTCAGATTTCCCTCAACCCAGAAACCTCCTCCAGCTCTGCTGGGGGAAACCTTGAATTACTCAAAGTCCAGCAAAGAAACATAATCCATTGTGTCCTGGGTCATTCCTAGTGTTCTAGTACTCGAGATTGGTCCTATTTTTAGGCTTTTTGTCTCGTCTTGGTATAGACAGCATTTTTACTCCGTCTCTCCTCAGTCTCACATAAGGTGGCCTCTGGTTTATTTGAACGAGACTAGTGGAGCACATTGCTGATAGGCTTTTTGCCTACCTTACTGATGAAATGTAAAAAAAAAAAAAAAAAAAAGATTCTCTCAATAAACAGCTAAAAAAAACTTACAATCATTGGTAGTGTAATTATACCACCCAGCTGCAGCTGCCACCTGCCCACAGTCTGTGTGACACTGACTGACACACCCCTGTGCATCTCCCTTAGCATAGAAAAAGGCGAGAAGATGAGAGGAGGCTACAGTACTGTGTGAAAAAAGGAAACACTAATATTCAAAAATGTTAGCAAAAAATATCTTACGGAAAAGTCACCTTTTTCCCACAGCTCGTTTAACATTAGAAGTCCATTAGATACTAGAATTTTTTTTCAGGCTGTAATCCCCCGGATATTAGCATATTAGCATTCTTCTCTGAGTAATATTTTCAGAACTAAATTTTAGCTCAAGCTTACCTGCCCCTGAAATGAGAGGAAGGCGGCTCTGTTTATGCAACATTGATTCATCTCTGCATATATTAATGCACAACAGATATTGAGCAGCAGTGCAAACTCTACCCCTGTTAAGTTAGTTTCAAGTTGGATATTCAAAAGCAGCATGGGACTCACGGTTGATCCGTTGAGTCACTCTCATTATGAAGTGAACCATGGAGAACAGGGAGCAACAGCTCTAGAACAGATGGCCATAATTACAAGTCCTGAATCGGATCAACCGCAATGACTAAGATGCAGTTGCTTAAATGTCCAATATTGAACTTTAGACTTTTGACATCATTGCAGTAGAGAATGCTCTGTGCTATGCTTGCTGAAAAAACACACAAGGCCATTCAGTCTCATGCACACAGAAGCAGTTCCCAGACAAGGACTAGTTCAGGGGTCTGCAACCTGCGGCTCCGGAGCCACATATGGCTCTTTGGACCCTCTCCAGCGGCTCTTGATAGTGGCTAAAATGTACATAAAGATCTAAATAATTTACTATAATATATACCGGTATCAATAGCTTTAGCGTTTTTTATAAGATGGAAAAGAATGAGATTAAAAGAACCAGAAATATGTTTTAAGAGACATTTTTCTATGAATTAGCTTGAAAATTATACGTTTTAACATAAAAATAGATGAATTGATTGTTTGAGATGGCAACAACTAATTTCCTATACAAGATTAAAAAAAAAAAGGTTTTCTAGTTAAAGTCATGGTATATTTTGCGGCTCTAAACAACTTTTATTTGGTCGTACTCTGGGCAAAACGGCTCTTTGAATATGAAAGGTTGCAGACCCCTGGACTAGTTCAAAAAAGCCCGTATGATGACAAGAACATCAGTGTACATGAAGTAGCCAAGGACATCAACATGGGGTAGGGGTTTGTTGGCGAGTGCCTGGTGGTTGGGCCGAAGGGGTGGAGTGAGGCCATCTCCCAATGGGCCCACCACGTGCAGGGGAAACCATGAGGGAATGGTGCTGAAAGGATTGGGCAGAAGTTGGAGGCAGAGGCTACAGTGACCTGATTCATGGAAGCTCAAAGTGGCTCTGATTGTATCTCATGTGCTGAAAATCTAAATCCAAACCTAAAAGCACTCTCTTTTTAAATTGTAGTTATTTTACAATATGAAAAGTGTAAGCAATTTATTTTACCACTTTGATATGTAAAGCTGATAGAGACGTATCTCACTTGCAGCTGTAATTGCAGCAAAAACTGTCTTGACAAAGTATTGCTTATCAGGCCTGAATACAAATGCAAACTGCCCTAATTAAAATGTTCTGTTCTGTTTGTTATGAATCTCTTGCATGGAATTCTAGTAAAATCAGTTGAGGAATCAGTTCAATAAAAAACAAAAAATAACTTTAACTAAGTCTCTATAGGTATGGAAAATCATTTAAAAATGAATAACAGATTAGAATAAATATGCTAACACAGTCATTCATGATATAAAAAACAAAGAAACAGTAAAATACAAGGAAATATTGAAATAATGTAATAATGTAAAGATCAGTAACATGACTTCATTTATGTGTTCAGATCTTTCAAACCCAGATGGATTACTCTTCAGATCCATCACAGAGACATCAGTTGAAGTCCAATGGCAACCGTTTTACTACTCTTTTGATGGATGGGAGATCAGCTTCATCCCCAAGGTAAAACCGAATGTAAAGAACTAGAGCTATTACATTATATTTGGGGGAAAAAAATATTATGTTTGAGCACTTCTTTATGATATTGTAACTCACTAACTAACTGAACCCATGTACAGCAGGTGATATAGGTATTACATGCTGTTATTTTTCTCAGTAAATATATTTCTAGAGATGCTTTTAACATGTCTTTTTCTCTAGATGTCCATGCAATCCACACATACAAAGAAATCAAACCCTACATGACCAGAAATTAAGTTGGACATTTCAGAATGAAAATGACCCAAAACACACAGCCAAGGAAAATCTCAATTGGCCTCAGAGAAACAAAATAAAGCTGCTAGAATGGCCCAGCCAATCACCTAACTGCGATCCAAAATAAAAGCTATGGAAAGCCCTAAAGATCAGAGTTTATAGAAGTGGTGCATGAAACCTTCAAGGTTTGAAGACTGGGTGAAAGAATGGGCCAAAATCACACCTGACAATGCATGCAAATAATTTCTCCATACAGCAGGTGTCTTACAGCTCTCACTGCCAACAAAGGCTTTTGTACAAGATTTCAAGTCAGCTTTTATTGTCACTTTCTTCATATGTACAAGACATACAAGGGAAATGAAATTACGTTTACTCTCTACAATATACAAATATACAAGAAATATACAAGACTGACATTTAAAAACTGACAAAGTGCGGGACATGACAGGTAACAGTGGTAAGATAAATATAAATATGAAGTATAGACATTACAATAAAAAGCAATAAAACAGCAGCAATTGCTTTTTATTGTAATGTCTATATATTTCAGTAAGTGTGTTCGATACCTTTTCCCTGTGCCATTTCACTTTATTACACATAACTTGATTTCTGGACATATATGGCTTGATTTCCTTTTATGTGTGGATTCCATGGATTACTAGCAACATCTGGTGAAAATGAAATGTCAATAACACCTTTAGAAATATATTTACAGACAAAAATGGTGGTGTGTTCAATACGTCTTTCAATTGCTGTACATTGTTTAAAAGTAGTAAGCACAAGCTCTTAGTCATCCTCACACAAGCAGAGCGCCCTCTTTTGCAGCCGTGACAAAGACCAGAACACCCACCGATAGCAAACTGATAAGCCTGGGACGAGTATTGTGTGTTGTGTGGAATAAGAAGACTTAGATAGCAATGGACACAGTATGACCAGCCTTGGGACCATTCTGGAAAGTCCTATTTATTTTTTATGGAAGAGCTCTGCTTTGTTTGTAATAGTTTTTCCTCATACACTGTCATAAATTTTCTTGTGAGGCTGTAAACTGTCAACTCTATGTTCCATCATTTGAGTTACCAGATGTCCAAGTCTCCAAACCTAGAAAATGTTGGTGTGTTGGTTATACAAAATCTACAAGAGGGTGCTACAATATGGTTTGTGATAAATACTCTCAGCTAAAAGATTTCAATTTTCAATGTAAACAAAGTTTTTTTTTTCCTTTATTGTTTTCCCAAAGTAATAGTTCTGTCAAAATGTTTTTTCTGGTTACATCTGTGGCATTGTCACAACATAATATTTTTGTCAATGATAACTTACTTTTAATTTCCTCGTAAAGAATAAAAAGTTTCTTAAAAACCTGAGGAAAACCTCTTAAAACGACTCTGTACTAATGCGTCAGTCAACTAGAAACTTTTTACTGTAGCTGCCACAAAGAGATTGCATGTTAATGTTACCTGCGAAAGAAGCTAAGAGTTATTGCAGTCCATTTGATATGTGTCAGTTTTATTGCCTTGGTTTAGTAAAATTAATCTCTTCACTAACTTAAACTATAATTGAGACAAACTTGATAGATAAAAAAGTTTCAATAAGTAACAAACTGCTTTTTTTCCTCCACATTATAATCCTCATTGTCTTACTTCATGAGAATAGCTAGGTATTATACTTAAAATAGAAATAGAAAAATGTTTACCCTGACAATAAAGTAAGCTAGATTAGGGGGACCTTAAAGAGAAGCTAAACACATCTGAATTTCATTTATTTGTTTGTTTTGTGTTTTTGTTTGTCTTTTGATTTATTGACATGAAATAAAAAGGAAGTTTTCAGTTGCAAAAACAGATAACTTTTTATACATTTTCAAAAACCCATACTTAATATTAGTAGTGGCATGCAAATAGTAAATTACATGCCTCAGCTCATTTTATTAAAAAATGAAATTTATCTGTTTTTGCAAATGAACTCTTCAAATACATTTAGGATCCAGAATCTCACTTTCAAGACTTGAAGAGTTGATTTATAATCAACAACTAATCCGGCCTGAATTCATATTAGCGTTAGAACAGTGCAGTGTTAATCATTTCATTGTATAAACCTAAGTAGTCCTGAAGGATACACACACACACACACACACACATATATATATATATATATATATATATATATATATATGGGGATAGCACAACAAAGCTTAGCTGGAATTGGACAATCTGATCGTTTTGTAAACACTGGCTGTTAAAGGGATAAACCATTAAACTCATTTCTCTCTTTCTTTCTAAAATCATATCAAGGTCAGCTTTAAAGCTCAGAAGCTAAAGTCCTCTAACCTTTGATCGACTCCAAATTATAATCTCCCCCTCACAATAATTGGTTTTCTTCTTTAAGGTGTTCTCAGGAGAGAGGTCCTCTTTATGGACTGGCACTAAGCCCCAAATCTGGTGCTGAGATGTTTTTGTGTTTATTTATCATTTTAAACAAATGGTTTCAGTGGCTTTAGCAATACCCCTCCTTTCAGTCCTCACATTTCCCAATGCTCCATTGGCATCTGCCCCCTCTTAAACAGTTCTCAAGATCTCTTGATTACACAGTCCATGGACCATTCTTGCTTGATATTGTATCTGTACCTCTTTTCTTTCTTACTACATTGCATCCTCTCTGTATCTTGTGCATCTCTTCCACTCCGTCTTCACTCACTGCATCTCTCTCTCTCTCTCTCTCTCTCTCTCTCTCTCTCTCTCTCTCTCTCTCTCTCTCTCTCTCTCTCTCTCTCTCTCTCTCTCTCTCTCTCTCTCTCTCTCTCTCTCTCTCTCTCTCTCTCTCTCTCTCTCTCTCTCTCTCTTTTTTTCCTCTCTACAGTACATCCACAGGGGAAATCATATTAAGGGTTGGCAGTCCCACCCCCTGTGGATTTAATCCAACAGCAGGAATGGGAATTTTGACTATCTTGTAATGGAACTAGGCATGAATGCTTAGGCCTGTGCAACACAAAATTCTCATAACACACACAGAAACAGCAAGAAAGAAAGACAACAAGGAGGTCTGGGACCAACATTGCTAGGAAAAGAAAACAGTGCAGTGCATGTCCTGCAAATGTGGGCATACACTGAATGATATTGTAAATTGTTGTACTCAGCTACAGATAAAACTGTACGACGAATCTGCAGGGTTTAAAAGTTCACAGCTCATAATGCATGTTCTTACACTGTACGGCCCGACGCTCTGATGCGATCTAACTGCTCATGTTCAAAAAACCACAGACACTCAGCATCGAGAGATGCCGCTGGTCGGATTCGTCAATCTAGAAGAAGAACTCCCTTGTTTGCACAAGCGCAGTGTGCGAGGTTCTGGTAAACCAGCCTGAAGACGCTTGTAGCTCTGCTTCAACAGCAGGATTTGCCGACGAATAGCCCACCATGGCCAACTGAATTTCACACATGTTTGATTAACTCCCAACCTTACGATGCCTGATCAGGAGGTGGTTGTGAGAGGCTAATCACCCCTCGACAGTGGTGTCGGATGTAGGAGTTTGCTCTGAAATCGAAGGATTGAAGGTTGAAGCCCCGGCTCCGACTTTCAGCGTCGTTGTGTCCTTGGGCAAGACACTTCACCTGCATTGTCTACTGATGGTGGTCAGAGGGCCTGGTGGCGCCATTGTACAGCAGCCTTGCTTCTGTCAGTGAGCCCCAGGGCAGCTGTGGCTGCAATGTAGCTTGCCACCATCAGTGTGTGAGTGTGTGCGTGAATGGGTGAATGACTGAATGTAGTGTAAAGCGCTTTGGTAAAGTCTCCTGACTTGAAAAAGCGCTATATAAATTCAGGCCATTCACCATTTACTACACAATGTAGGAGGCATGATGAGGCAGAAACTCAGCCTGATCCAAAAATTTCTTGCACTAGCGGAGAATTGGCCCAAAAACTGCAAAAAATCATACAGTACATGGCCGCCTTTAGAGAAACCACACAGAAAAAGACATTTCAACGGTTTAAATACCTTTTTGCTGCATTAATAAACAGCACATGCTGCATCTTTGTCTTCATATGGTATACTGTACAGTATTAGAGTCATGTCCTTTAGCCATTTTAAAACTTTATTTTGGAAAATTACACACTTTTTTGTTTGTTTTTCCATGTTTTGTTAAATTTCTAATGCGCTAAAAAGAGAAAAAAAATATGGAACTGAACTCTTTCTTAAGCATTTGTTGACACTGAAGCATCCTCAGTAATACATGCAAAAATGTCTGAATTCAAATTAAAAGGTGTTTATAGTACATAGTATACTGCTTAAATCTTTAACTGAATATGTTCCGTAGATCTTTATAAATGTATTATGTTTTTTATTTCATCTCTGTGAAAGTGAATGCTATTTTGTATTCACAACTGCACAGAGTTCCCCTTCAACCTCAGTCTTTCAGAAGCCTTTGGATGGAGGAAGACAGTGGGGGTGGATGGTTTCTCCATTATTTGGCTCACAGCAATACCAAGTGACATTTAAAACATGAGGAGCACTCAGAACATTAAGTGCTCCGCCACAGCAATGGCTCTGTCTCACAATTTAAGTGAAAGGGTTTCTTCTTTTATCCACTACCTCTCCCCTGATAGGTTTCATGATATTCTTGCTACTCAGCTGTGACATACACAAACCAGCAGTACTGAAAACAAAAGGAGTATGTTGTTTCCCTAAAGTAATAAGACTCTGATGTTAATGCAAACGTTGCTTCTAAATAAAAATAATTTGATGTGAGCAGGATCTAGAG